CGCGCGCCGCCTTCGTCGTCTTTGTCTCAGCGGGTCAGAGAGACAACGAATATCCTGGTTTCGTTTCCAGATCGTGAGTCGAATGGCAATCTTACTATTTGTGAACGCATACTGTACATGGCTTGCACTGTCGTCACATCAGCGGCCATTGCGGTGCTGCTCAGTGCTTTCCTTCTAGAGCTTTCATGTCGCATCCCAGAATTTGTTTTGCTCGTCAAGAATAAATAGGAATGACCACCAGCATGGGCGTACCAACCTGAGGGGCAAGGGGGCACTTGCCCCCCCCCCCCCCCCCCCCAGTTCTCAGAGTGTGGGGGGGGGGGGGGGGGCAAGGCATGCGTTTTGCACCCTCCCCCCCTGAAACAGCCGCCACTGGGCAGGGCAAACAGTGGCCGGCGGCGCCCAAAGGATACCAAGAGCACCGCCCCCCGGCCTTGGGGGGGGGGGGGGGGGGGGGGGGGGGGAAGGGGCCTGCTTTGCCCGCCCCCCTGCCCAACTCAAAAACAAGTTGGTACGCCACTGACCACCAGCATGGCGCGATGACATCTTTTACAAGCCTAGGTTACGGTGACTAGAAGGGGAGGTGTCAGAATCGTGCAGCTCGCTCCGTGTGCGGCATGACGACGATAGGTGGCACGCTACGCCTCATGAATCGGTGACACCTGTGGTTTATTATTTTATTTTAGTTTTTGGCGCTTCTAGACTCTCGTTGTAAAGAGATTGCGCTCCCAATATACATACAAATATACACACATCGCAGCCGGTGGGCCTAAAGACTGTTTGTCTTCACCTACATGACAGGGGGCAGACTTAGTGGAGGAGGCGGCTGCCCCTGTGACCACCACACCAGATAACAACTGGGAGCGGGAGCTACAGACGAGGGTGAAAAACGAGGAGGCGCTTCGGTGGGCAGAGACGTCGCAGTCAAAATCGACGCTGCATGTTTACCACCAATAAAAGAAGGGCATTTAAACTGAATCTGCACTCTATGACAACAGCCTGGACAGTCGCATGCTCTTCGAGGCGCGTGCAGGAATGCTACGAACGCAGGAGTACCGTCGGCACTACGACCACCGAAAAGAAGTAACGAAATAGCGTTACTCGTTAGTTTGGAAAAAAGCTAACGCTTTACAGAGCTCCGTTACCAATTTGCATATGTAACATAATACTGGTGTCATTACTTGTCATTGTTAACGGACGTTAGTTTTACGTTAGTTTGTCGTTACTTTCTGTTTCACTGTTATAGCGGATTCACACTGTCGAATTTTCTTACGTTAAGTTACGTTACGTATAAGCCACCGAAACATTCGTGTCTCGAATGTCGCGTGTCGTGCTTTCTCCTTGAACTGGTAGCCTCGCTTAATATGAAGCACAGAGGTCCCGGTGACTTCAACTTTATATTTCGTAACGTAACTTAACGTAAGAAAATGGGGGCAGTGTGAACGGGCCTTAAGTGGACAGTGGGTTGTAGTTTCGGTTTTTCGTTTCCTTGAAAGCACCTCGAACTCTCATAGCTTCTGCAAATAAAGGGACTAGCGAAAAATTTCTAGTTATCAGTGGTGTGGTACAAGGAAATGTTATCTAAATAAACTGCATCACGAATTAGTATAGAAAAAAAAACTGTGTAAATAAATCGCAAACTTAAACAAATATCAAAATGATTCATTTTCCCACCTTCTGAAATGTACAAGTAAACTAAATTAAGCCGTTTTGGAAGAGTTTTCGCTAGCTTACATTAATGAGCATTGTCAGATGTAGCTGAAAAACAATGCGACTAACAAAACGATCTCGAAAGAAAGGTGCGTTCTTTTGCCTAACAAAACTTAACCATGACATTTTAGCGAAAAAAGGTGACTTGAAAAATGCCTCTCCTTGATGTGCTCTTTCAAATTAGAGTTCGACGTCCTGGATGTGTTGAGCAGCTTGAGTTTCGGTACACAGAGTTCAGTTCACAGAGTTTCGGTACACAGACCTCATTTCAAACATGGCACTCAGCCGGGGCCAAAGTAACGGAATTTCGGCGGCCGTTGCCATCTTGCGCGAAAAGTGAGTGCGAGATGGCAGTAAAAGGGGCTTTTATAACAAGCGTTCTAAACCGGCCTTGTTCGCAGACGTTGCATGACAGAAACAACTGTACAGTACACGTACTGCTCACAAACAACACGCCTCCTAGCCATGCCGGGTTTAATCACGGTCCGGTTTGGGCTACACAAGCAACAAAAAGAGGACACCGATCGGTTATTATAACCAATAATTATAACCAAACATGATTATGGGTGATTATAAACGAAGAATAGGGCCGGCCTATACTTGTGTTCTAATCGCATGCATAGTCGTAGTATGTTTACGTCTATAAACGACCGAAAAAGGTGGCGAGGGTTTACAAGCTCTTTATTACGCTGAGCAAGAGCGAGAACAGAACTTTGCCCACAGCGCCTGCCCGGAAACAGGAAACCGCTGTGAACAGAAAGACCGGGTGCACGCCAGGTAACGCACGCAAAAGAGACCTCTTCGTGTAATCACACGTTAATCCTTAGTACAGCAAACGTTATTTCATTTTCCTCACAAATCAACGTCGCATTACTAAGTAACGAAACGTCAGCACCCGGCCACCGCTGACCACTCTCTTTTCTCCTCCTCTCCCTCACTTTCTCTGCGCATACTCACTACAGCCGACGCTAAGTCCCTCCGCTAAGTCCTCCGCAACGAAGAAGCCGCTACTGCGCCTGCGCGCCGATGGCCTTGACTAGAATTTCGGGTATCGTAGCAAGTTGCGGAGAGAGTTGCGGGACGGCGAAAACCATCTACGAAAACTCCCTAATAGGGAGTTTTCGTAGACCGCGTTTCCCCCTCCTCTAAGCCCCTCCGCTACCCGGAACTCTACAGCCAAGGCCATCGGCGTGCAGGCGCAGTGGCGGTTTCTTCGTAGCGGTGGCCTAGCGGAGGGGAAATACGGTCTACTAAAACTCCCTGTGGTGCGGGACGGCGAAAACGATCTACGAAAACTCCTATAATGAAGCAGCGCCAAAAGCGCATCGTCATCTTCTAAGTGAGTTTCCTACCAGCGACTAGACCAATCACTCATAGTGATTGGTCCAGCCGGCGATAGCCTACCCACAAAAACGACGAGGGCCGCCGTGACGATGCAGACTTCAGGGTGCTCGATTGACTCCATCGGGTTGTAGCCCACTGCAGATTACGCCTAAAAAACGAGGACAAAAAAAAAATGAGTGGCACACAGGACAGGGCGTATAACGCCGGGCTGCGCTTTGACTTGAAACGGAGTAGAGTATACCTGTAGCAAACAATTTCTGTCTGCTAAGTCTAGACAGCTTTGAAGCTTAGACGGGGCGTGCTTTGATCGCCCCGCAGCCTTTCGAAATCAACTGACCTCCATTTTCAATCCGCCTTCCGGCCCAAGATAAAGCAGAAACAAAATCCAAAAAAGCGGCGCTTATTTATTTTTTTGAATGATAATGAGGAGGCCAGCCCCATAAAGGCCCTTTGTTTTCTCGCTGCTCCGTATTTCCCGTCGCCAGCCTCGCCTCGGCAAACGACGCGCTGCGTCTATCGTCAAAGCCCGTTCCAGTTAGCCTTTTGTTCTGGCCGAGTTCCTAGTTGACGCCAGCCGAGCTCGCCCCGGAGGTCGGTCGTCACGACCGCCGGCACACCAAAACGTCTGCGGGGTGCAGCTAGACCATTCCGAAAATCGCATTCTGCCATCTTTCCTCTTTTTTTTTTTTTTTGCTGGGAAGTGGATGGTTTTTTAAGCATACGCAGTAGCTCTCCTCTGGTGAATATCAAACGCTATGCGTGCAGTCTAGTGACTTTGGCGATACTTTTTACTTTTTACTTTGGTGATAAGTACTGGGAAGGTGAACACTCATTGAGAGTGTAAAAACCGCAGTGCGTGGCGAGAAGTTGTCTTCTCGCTGGTATTACATACCAAATTAGGGTTGCAAGCAGTGGCGTACTACCAACTTGTTTTTGAGTGACGGGGCAAATCAGACACCCCGCAGTGCCGGGGGGCTGTGCCCTTGGTATCCCTTCGGTGCCGCCGGCCAGTTTTTGCCCTGCCCAGTGTCGGCTGTTTCACGGGGGGTAGGGGGGGGGGGACAAAAAACACATGCCTTGCCCCCACTCTGAGAACCGGGGGGGGGGGGGGGGGGGGGGGGGAAGGGGTGCAAGCGCCTCCCCCCCCCCCCCCCCCAACTCGGGTTGGTACGCCCATGGTTGCAAATTACAACCGTATGACCGCCCAAACCGAAACTACAACATTCATCGTGTCGTATTACACCTGAGACTGCGGTGGAAGAAATCGGAAGAACTTTCAGTAGAAGGAACAGACACAGAGAACGTCTCAAACCTTCATCGGTTGCACCTCTAACGAGCTAAGGCTAATGTCAAAAGGTTCTTCATTGCAGTTCGCCTCCAGTTCCTATGTTCCTAAAAATTAAACTTGGCGAAAAAAGTAGATAAAGCGTTACGTGAAATAAGAAAAAGGAAAAAAAAAGTCATAAAACTATCACAATACCACACAGACAATGTAAAAACAAAATAAAACAAAAAAAAAACCTCAATTTCTATTGCTTGTCAGTTATTGTTCTTATTTTTTTAGACTTGCGGACATACACAACGAACTGGAGACTGGAAAAAAAGGCCATAGAAACAGAAACCGTCCCCAACTTCCGCAGTTCCGCGTACGGCGCGTCACCCTCCACGTGACCTTACATGTCCTTCCCTGATTGGGTCCCATTCATCTCCATGGCGACCATAGAACCGGACAGCGAGTAACAAATTCGGTTCTGTCGCACCCCACACCCCTTTCCTCCCGACCATCCGTATTCCTCGGCGCCGTAGTCAAACTATGATCGCGCGCCAAAACGGCAGTCGGAGTCATTTCAGCACGTGTTTGCCGCACTCTTTGAACACGAGTTCTTGCGAAGCTGTAACCTACACTGCAACGTTCTGAGCAGTTTCTACGTGCGTCATACTGCCCTATGTCTTTGATTGTGATCTGGTTAAGTGTGTGCTACTGCGTCGTGCTCACCTGCACCGAAGACCCCGGCTGCGGGTTCGAGGTCCCGGATGATGACGTCACGTCCCGCCTGGGCCACGAGTCGGATTCGGACGCTGGTTACGACACCATGTTGAACACATCGCGTGACGTCACACGTGACGTCGCATCTAATGTGACGTCTTCAGTCGCTCTGGAGCATACCACGACCGAGGAAACTGCTGCTCTTGAGAAAGAGAACGTGGTCACCCGAGTGTCTTCAACAACGACCACAACGGAAGTGACGTCAATCACTCCGGAAACACTCCAAATCGATGTCAAGCTCGAACGCGATCTGTTGGTGAGTTTTCTTCTTCTATAAAAAAGAAAGTGTACTACAAGATAAATGCGTTCGTAAAGTATACTCCCAGCAGCCTAGCTGCTACTACATCATACAACATAATGAAAAGAAACAGAAAACAACAACCTGAAGGCACTTTCTGACGCGTGTTTGTTGCTTGTATGACTGTCCTGTCAACGCTGGTCATACAAAGACTGTCCGCAGAGATGTTATCCAGCGTATCCGCAGATGTTTCTTTCAAAATGTCTGCAGCGAGCACCATGACCTTAGTTTGATGAGGACCAAGTGCAATTCGCTCGACAGTTTACCGACGGTGTCGCATTCGTGTTCTGTATTGTTCGCTACGTATCTTTCCCAACTCGGCGCCAATTGCGTGTATACATATAAAATATTCAGGAGGCTAGTTCAACGAACCTCCCACACGATTCCCAACATGTTCAGGTCGGCAGATGTGAAGCGGTTTCTTTTTGGTTATATGAGGAGAAAACGTCGAAAAATAACATGTCTCGTCGATTGTGCTCAAATCAAAGCGTGCAAAATTGTTGTACGTTTTTTTTTTTTTTGTCTTCTTTTTTTTTTTGAAAAACGAGTTTACTGCATATATATTGCAAATATGATTTTTAAATGCATATTTTCTTGCGACTTTTAAACCGTAAGTACCCACGCGTTAATTTTGTTGAAATTTTAACCATGTCGGTGGTAATAAATCGCGCCGTGGTGTTTTCGCACCACCAGCCTTGAGCCTGTTGTACGGGTGGTAACTTTAGGGTAATACCCGCTTCCCATGCCCTCGATTTTATTTTTCTTTTCTAAATTTGACTGATTTAGTGGTTTTCAATGAAGCCCAGCAGTTCAGTTTATTAAAACCACATATGTCTATTTTTACAAACTAAGAAGATAATGAACAAGGTTTCTTTAATTATCTGAAGTATCGTGCCCTATCATGTCATGTGTCCCTGGCCTTATAACTAGGGCTCCGTGTTTTTGGAGTTTATTTTTTAGCGAAAATTTGATGTTTATCGGAGTTTATTTTTCTTAAATCCCCAATTCTCCGAAATTCGGAGATTACTTTCGCAGTGTTTTCTATCAAAAAATAATAAATAATAACCGGATGCAAACGTATGCCAGATAAAAAATAAAATGCGCTTGTATCAATTAAGATTTCTTCACCTGAATTTGGCGTTGGTGTCATTGGCAATACTAGTTTGTCCCACGACAAAAGTCACGCACAAGTGTGGCTTCGATAAACGTCGATACCTTAAAATCAATAAACTGCCGGAGGTAGCCGCAAGGAAGCTCGTAGTCATCCCATCAATCTATCTCGCGGCCGCGCGACGTGGAGTGGTTAAGGATGCAATAGAGAAGTTTAAAAAAAAATTGGCTTGCTCTTTATATTTATACAGCCTTGATGGAGATGCGCCTCAACGGGTAATCGGTCTCTTAGCTGTAGATGAGAAATTTAGCCAGTGCGGTACAACCGCTAACCTGGGATTTTTAACGTGCATCACGCAGTAGTGATCACACGAACGCGTGCCGGTACGAGACTCATCTAGATCGAAACGGGCGGGGGCGGCGGGGATCGAAAAGTTTCAACTGCCCTTCTTCCCTATTTATACAATCTCTATGGCCCATAGCTTTCACTCTTACCCCAAGAAACCTACCCTCTCCTATCTCTAAATCCCAAATCCCATAGCCTAAACTGGAAACCAAAGGAGTGGCTTTTGTCGTGACACGAACGGTACCGGTAACCTGTTTCCTTTTATTTATTCACTTTCTCACAGCGCCAGGGTGGCATTAAAGTGAGGGGGGGGGGATTTTTATCAATGTGATACATTTAAGAAATACAAAGGAGCATAACAGAACGCGCACATGAATACCCAGTACACGGGAAACAAAAAATAAAATACTTATCACAATGCAGCAAAGAAAGCGTCATTGTCTAAAATGTCAACAACCTCCGAAGGCAATTGATTCCATTCGCTAATAGATTTGGGGGAAAAAGAAGATTTAAACTGGTTTGTGCTACATTTATATTCACGTACCTTTCGTTCGTGATCGACACGATGAGAGTATAATGCGGGGGCAAAATGTAGTTTTCGCGCTGTATACCAGTTCTGCGGTGATAAATGTTATGAAATAATTTTAGCCATAGATTTTCCTTCTTTTTTCGAGAGATTCCCAGCCTAAGAATTCCTTCAGACTTGTCATGCTGAGTCGCCTGTTATAATTCCCGGAAACATATCTAGCCGCTAAGTTTTGACCTCTTTCAAGTTTATTTCTATCAACAGCAGTTGGTGGGTCCCAGGCTGTACACGCGTGCTCGAGAGCAGACCTGATATAACCCTGAACCAATCTTGACGAGACAAGCCGTAAGACCCCTTTTTGACAACGGTCCGAGGCTTGAAAGATAATTATGGTGTTATTTTCCCAAGACCATTCTTTTTTGCGCTGCTGAAATTGTAATTTTATTTATTTATTTATTTTTTCTGTTGTGGGGCACATAACAATTCGGAGTTTATCGGATAAATCCGAATTGCCAAAAATTTTACCGGCGGGTGTTTTTCGCAGTTTTTCGGATTTATCCGAAAACACGGAGCCCTACTTATAGCTCACCTGCACGAAGAGCACTAGCGTACCTTGCAATACTTTTCCATCAGCAACAGAAAAAAAACAAAAAAAAAACACCCATCTGATTGGGTATTATTTCGTTTCGGCGCAATCGTAAGTCAGATCGAACAAGACCAAAAGACAAGGCGATGTGGTGTAGCGGTTAGCATACCAAACCAGTTACGAGGAGACCCGGGGTTGGAATCCCGAATCTGCCAAATATTGTTTTCTTCAGCCGCCTGTCTAACCTTTATTTTCATTTGATCGTGTATACGGTTCATTCGTCTTGCCGCATATTTCGACTAGTTTCGGAATGTTGTAAACATCGGGCAAAATAACTTGGTTTGCGAATCGTACTACATACTCGATACTATTTATTCCATTATGCTTTACTCTATATTGTTTCAAATAATATGAGAAGATAAAGACAGATCAAATATATAATCAAGAGACAAAATTACACAGAAAGTGATGATGCGAGTGCGTGCATTAAAGCCACGGCTCACACTGGAATTACATCATCCAACAGACAATGAGACTGTCTGAGGCCTTCCTTGCGTGACAGCCACATTGGTCATGCAAAATTGTCTCCGGACATCTTTGTTTATACGCATGCATGACGGCCACATTGGTCATGCAAAAACTAAAGCAAACAATGTTTGAACATACACGAGGCGCAGATAATTCTCCAATCATGTCTGCAGTAATCATCGGGTCTCTTGTGTGTCATGCATGAAAAGCTGGACTGCGGCCTAAAGCAAATGCCAATTGGATTTCACGAAGTGATTGCAGGATGCTGCAGCGAATATGGCGATGAACGACTGTAGCAGTTTCATACCACGCAGAAATGAAACATCATATATCGTGGGATCTATGTATATATATGTATATATATTTTTTTCAGCAAAGAGAAAAACGTCAAGAGGAGGAAGAAGAGGAAGAAGTTGAAAGTACGTATTTCCTTCCTGTTTGTGTGTGTGTGCGTGTGTGTGTGTGTGTGGGGGGGGGGGGGGGGGGGGCACGTTAAGTACCCTTAGCAAGAGATATTGCGAATTGCCAGTCCTGGTCTTCTTTCACTTTGTTTTTTGGCGTGTTTGAACGGACAATTAAAACAAACTATCAATTTATAAGACATAATAAAACTTATGTTTTTCTTCAATATTTAACCGCCATGATAAATTACTTATAAGAGCGGTAACCTTCCACGGATCCAACAATGAACTTCTGACGAATACGTTGCGTGGATCGTACGCAGACGAAACGGAAGTGTTGAGTGCGAATGTAAAGGTAAGATAGAAAATACAATATTTTTAATTGACTATTTCTTATGGTAGAAATTATTAGGTTATTTTTTAAGGGAAAAAAAATTGTGCGGCTCGTACACCGGTACGCATTAATTTATTACCTATGTTTTATATTTTTATTTTTTTTTTATTTCTACGAGATCTCTTCTGCAAGATTATTACTTTCTAAAGCCGCGCGCTGGCGTAGCTGTCTCTTAGAATACTGCATAGATCTTCTGATGAATAGTCTACACTGCAGTTTGGACCCGCGCATGTCACTAAGAATGTTGTCTTCATTACAGATGCAGGTTCACGTAAACCACCATTCACGCACTTGCAACTGCTTACGACCGCGTGCCTTGAAACCTTTCGTGATCTCTTACGACGATGTAGCACACTGGCGCCATCTATCGAGTAGCCGTGGAACACTTGGAATTTCCGAGTATCTCTCATTTTCTTCGCTCATCATTTTGTTTTCTCTAAAAAAAAAAAAAAATGACAATGTTTTTAAGTAACAATGCCTTATACGCAGTACGTAACATTTGATCTTGAAAATACCGCAAAACCATCCTAGTGAAATCAAATGCAGTTCCAGGGTGTGGGATATTGCTACCAACACAGGTACCGATAGAGTAACCAAAGGGTTATCTCAACAGCCGCGATATCTCAAAGGAGACGTCGAACCTAGTAGCCCGCGGTCCCCACATCTCCGCGGCAATGTAGACGACGTTTAGGGCTACATTACTGCGGGTCGGTTTGATTAATTACCTCCGTCGGTGCCAATGATCGTCTACCCTGTCTCACCCTCTCGAATATAGCGGAAGAGAAGACACACGTACCAGAGTAAGGACAGAGTTCAAGAGCATTTATTGGAACACTCTTAAAATAAACTACCATGTCCCCATCCAAAATGCACCCGCGCCGGCAAGGTAAGAAAAGGTTCATACCTGCCAGACGCGGAGTTCCGGAGAGCCAAGACGGGGGAAGCGCCGGAGAAGTCGCCGACACACGTCCTTCCTCTTTCGCGGTCACCCGGACGACTCCTTTTCCCGAAAGCGGGAAAACAAGAGGCGATACCTCCTCGCCTGTCGGCAGTGGTTCGTATCCGAGCGGGGGGTCGGAAAGAGGTCCCCACGGGAGAGAGGGAGAGGAGAGCCCCAAAAGGCCAGGCGGCCCTCTGCCTCACGAACAGGTCGTAGCTCACGGCGAAGGCGACCGAGCGTTCCGACCCGCAGCCGTTATCACAGCCATCGGGGAAGGGAGAGCATAGGAATCCCCACAAGGGTAACCTCACAGGTGACGCAAGCGTGCCAGTGTGTTTAAGAGTGACGAAAATAATCCTTGGAGAAGGGGGACAAGGGGTGCAAAGGACAAACAAAAATCTCCAAACAGAGCTAGGTGACTGGTGTGCGACCGAAAACATCCGTCTCCTTCTGGAATCGAACCAGGGACCTCTCCATCTCCGGTGAAGCGCTCTACTAACTGAGCTAACCAGGGGTAAGACGCCAGTAGAGCCAACGGAATTTGTCAGCTGCCACCAGTCTAACACCAGCAAGGGTGAACAGCCTCCATTTTTTTAAGGTTAGGATGATGATGGGCAATTAAAATGCAAAGGTGGAAGCGAGTTGTCGAGCTCGCTTGCACCTTTATATTTTAATTGCATTATCATCATAACGTGTTTAAGAGTGTTCTATAGTCGTGAGAGATCACAAGGAAACGGTCGCAAGCAAACGCAAGCCTGTACGTGAAGGCGCCTTAAGCCAATAGAGAGAGGTGCTCTAACACTTTGGGCACTGCAACCAGCTTGGAGCGTCTCACTATGTTCTGGACATGCTCTGTGCGACATTCCAAGCTACTCGGTGGACATAATCCGTCGGGGCACCCTACTATAAAACTCTCCAATATATAAACAAAAAACTTTTTTTTTCGCTCTAGAGTTTATTGAGAAACCCGAGCCGTGCGACTTCGGCCAAGGCGAAGAGCTGACCATGTGCGACTGGACCAACTACTTCAACGCGACCCCCAAGATGGCCTGGAAGCCCGGCAAGGGGGACACAGCCCTGTGGCTGGGGGGACCGCGAACGGACCATACCCTCAACACCGGTGAAGGTATGTGCGCCTCCCGCATTCCCTCCACGCCTTCTACGCACCATCACGAGGCCCTGCATGCAAGTCACGGCACTGCGATGGCTGTGTTGTCGGCACTGCACTTCCTGCGAATCTGGTTTCTTCGCACTGATATCACTATTGGCGAATTCCACAAGTCGTTTTGGAGCGCGCCGGGATCGACTTTTAAGGAGCGCGCCTATTTCACCGGGCGATCGGGATCGAGACGGACGTGTTCCGCTCGTCGTTTTGGATCAGCTCCCACTCCAGGTCTCGATCCGGATCCGAGAAAGGTCGCTCCGTCGAATTCGCCGGATTCGACCGGGAGGCCAGCCTGCCTCGGTGCGCACGCGTGACTTCCTTCCTCGCCGTGCATCTCGCCTCGGAAGAATTCATAATGGCCGCTCGCTATGCGCCGCCCGCTTTACTGCTGCTGCTGCTTGATGACAGTTCGTCATCAACTTGTTCGAGCAGCCCCTCCAACGCAGCAGCGGCTCGAGTAGCAGCGACGACGAGGATTGCTCGTATGTCCCGCTTGAATTCGACTGCCTTTACGGACCTCCGCAGAAGAGGCCGAAAATAGGGAACATGGAAACTCCGCCGATCCCGGAGGAGTGGCCATGTTCCACTGGGAATCCGGAGGTGGATCAAATCTGTTCAGATCGCGTGCTCCATCTCGGATCTGGTCTACTGTTCCCACCAGATGAGGTTCGGGCTCAAGGGACAAAGCTTCCGGTCACGACAGGACGCAGTCAGTCCCCATCTGTTTCTCAACTGCGAATCTCGAGACAGCCTTCGACGTTGAACAGATCCGTTAATTATTACGATGTATTCTCACTAGAGTCAAGCTACGTTTAGAGCATGGACACTTCATCCCTCTATTGCCTTGTGATCGCCGCCATTTAGTTGCCCAGCGTGTCTAAAGTTCAGGAGTTGCGACTTCTTGAACCGATGAGCTGTCGCGGGAAGCTCCGGTGATAGCACTTCGCTATGTCGCAGTTTTTTTTTAAAGCAGAAAAGCGTGTTTTTTTTTTGTTTTTTTTTTTTTTGCAATTTTAGATAAAACTTTAAATTACTGGCAACGATCGCTTTAAGGCCACGGTCCCACTGAATGTGGCAGTTTAGGTACTTTTTGGCAGGCCATTACTTATTTCCTTTTAAATACTGTATTGTGGGATTTATGTCATTCGAAAGGCAATGCAATCCTCTTTCATTTGATATTATGTATGTGTTGGTTTTTACTGCTCATGCGCATTTGTAGCGTTGCGAATATGATGGCGCGGACCCTCACTTGCTCCGCTAGTTCATGTTTTATGAACGATCCATTAAAGATAGCACGGTTCCAATATAGCAGTTTTGTTAAGATGATGTCGGAGAAGAATCTAACGATACACGTTTTTGGTATTTGCACTACTTTGTTTTTTTCATCCCTCCAAATATTGCCCTAAAATTGACATTTTTCAGCACAAATATGTTTTTAATGACAAGCGCTGGGGCAATGAAATCAGCTACAGATGTAGTGCTTATAACTGGTAATATGCAGAAAAAAATTTAATGTTGTTTAAAATTTCTTTGTTTAGATATTTTATATCAAACGTAGCACTTTTTTGTGCTTCGAGTCATGGTAGTTCAAATGCCGCTGAAGAAATAATTAAACTGTGATAAAATCTTTTATAACATTTAGAGCTTAAATGGTTGCTCAAGAGGTGGACGATGGCTTTTTTTCATTTTCAAAGTCATAACGCTCCAGGAGCCCTTCAAACTTACCTGTTTTTGACGCATATCTGTTTTGGACATCAAACAGATTTATTGGCATTTAATAACATTTATTGTTTGGAATAGATATACATTGCGATGTATTAAATTTTCACAGTGATCTTGCTTTGGTTTCTTAATAGGTGTAGAGCTTAGCTAATTTTAAAAACAATTAAAAACTGTTTGGGTGTTTTGTTGCGCTACCTGGCGGATGGCAGACAAACTGCTGATTTCTAGTGTTCAAAAAATTTCCGAGGGCGGCGTTGGCGTCTGTATCATCATCAATCTCAGTGTCTTTTTACCTTAACATTAAAAAAATATATTGGAAGATTTACTATCGATAAATGAATGGTTTAAGTACTGGGTCAGGCTAATAAATCTAAGACAAATAATTACACAAGCGTAGCGTGATATAATGCGTTCATTATTCGATATGATTGAAATCAATAAACAATAAAGACAAAGAGGAAAATAATACACCCGAGTTAACTTTATGCCTAGAGTCACTACATGAGCTTTAAAATATCGGCACTCAGTTCCCCAAAATTGGTTTGGGCGCCGCCATTTTGGGTGTTGCTCAGAGCAAACGCAACTGCCGATCATCATGATCCAAAAGTACGACTTCCTCAGCATTAGATGCGGTGCTAGGAAGCTGATGCAATATTGAAATGCTCTGTCGCGGGTTGTTTAAACATTTGTGAGGGACGGAAAAGCGTTTCCTGTGATTTTAGATAAAGCTCCATATAACTGGCAACCATGATGTTAAGCCACAATTTTAAGCCAAGTGTCGTTACTCGGAGCCGCAGCTAATTTACTGGCACAAGTGGGAACTAGAGCCACTGTATGAGCTGCGCTTGTACCCCATTCACACGACCAGCATAAAGGTACCTTTAACAAAGGTCCCTTTGCAGCCAGCGAATCAGCCCGCGCTAGTAGATCGCGAGCATATGCCACGCGCGGAGGATCGCGAACTGATTCGCCTTTCGCCATGAAGGTCCCTTAGCTAAAGAGACCTTTATGCTCGTGTGAATAGGGTAATCGGCACTCCGTTCCCCGACATTGTTGTGGGCGCCGCCATATTGGGGCTTGTGCAGAGCAGACGCAACTGCAGATCGTCATGATTCAAAACTGCGACTTCCTCAGCATTCGATTCGGTGTTAGGAAGCTCATGTAATATTGCTTTTCTGTGTCCCGGTCTGTTTAAACATTTGTGGAGGACGGAAAAGCGTTTCCTGTGATTTCAGATAAAGCTTCAGATAACTGGCAACCATGATTTTAAGCCACAATATGGCCAAGTGTCGTTACTCTGAAGCGTAGCTTATTTAGTGGCACTAGCGGGAACAATGAAAAAGAGGCAGGTGTCAAAAGGTAGTGGCTTGTGGAATCCACGGGGCTTACGTCATGGCCCCTCCAGGTATTGCAAGCCTCTTGAACAAGAGCATGAATAGTGTCATTAAATAAGCTACGCTTCAGAGTAGCGACACTTGACCTTATTGTGGCTTAAAATCATGGTTGCCAGTTATTTGAAGCTTTATCTGAAATCACAAGAAACGCTTTTCTGTCCTCCACTTTAAACAGTTTTCGACAAAGCAAAGCAACATTACATGAGCTTCCTAACACCGAATCTAATGCTGAGGATGTCGCACTTTTGAATCATGACGATCGGCAGTTGCGCCTGCTCTGCACAAGCAACAAAATGGCGGCGTTCACAGCACTGTCGGGGAAGAGAGTGCCGATACTCTAAGCGCAGCTCATTTATTGGCTGTAGTTCCCGCGAAACTCCTTTTCCCTGACTGAAACTGAAAGTAAATATGAATAATACGCCATTATTATAGCTTATTTAGTTATAACAAAATACACGTAATTAGAGGAGGAAGCGGGCGGGTAGGAGAAACGTGGGTTTGTGCGACCGTTCTAACCGTCTCAAAAGAAAGAACGCACGAGCTTGCACTGGTTTAAAAAAAAAAAAAAAACATCAAAAGAAAAGATGCGGCACGCTGTGTTCTTTGTGATTGTGCGTCTAAATGCAAATTGTTGTGTGTATGTTTATACAGCCGGAAGTTAGTCTGCCTTAGTGGGCGTCTGGTGTCTCAGCTGTAGATGAACAATTTAGCCAGTGCGGTACAGCCGCAAACCTGGGGTCTTTAACGTGCACCACGCAGTAGTGATAAACGACCGCACGCCGGTACGATGCTCTTTCAGATCGAAACAGGCAGGGGCGGGGTGGGTTCTGCAGCGCGAGCTTTCGCTCCAAGTGCTCCGAGCTGGTGTGCGCTAGACCATGCACTCGGCCACCGACCCCTCCCCCCCCCCCCCCCCCCCCTTGTGCGTCTAATTTATATACAGGTATAAGTATTTGAAGATCGACGATGAACGTCGATCGTCTCGAGGTAATGTAACGTAATAACAATGTATAAATAATAAACTTGTTGAAGGACTGAACGACTAAATTTTTCAATTCTTGGATTGTAATATGGCGGTAGCCTATTGTACTTACTGTTGATGAAGAGCAATATGAGGTGACGAGGTAATTATTAATTGATGAGGCTCCATAAGGACGACGACATTAGTGGGTGTCGAACCACAACGTACAGTGCCAGACTTGTTTCAAGTATCGTGTACCCAAAAACTTTCTTCACCCGCAACAGTATAAGGTAGAATCAATGAGGATGCTGCTCTACAACTGTACGTTGAACAGGATAACTGCACTGTGCAGAAGTGCGGCTTATTTGTTAATATGAGGGACGGATCCCCGTTCCAAAAGATTCTTGAAGCATACTTAAACCGCAAAGGAGTATGAGGCGAAAAATGAGAAAAAGGAGCCTGGTGTGAAAGGTCCAAATCACCACCATAGCTTCTACTATCAAACACAAGGGCAGTTACACAATACACAAAGAGAGGTTTGTGATTTAGTTATATTTACACTGAAGGGCATTGATATATCCAACGTATTCAGAGAGATGACACCTTTTGGTCAACCGATATAGAGCCTTTTCTACTCAAGTTTTACATGGAAGGCCCCACTCCCGCTGAAATTCCTCACGTAGACGAGTTGTCCGACCGATTAAACTGCCATTACTCTCTATCTGGGAATCTCTCGATCTTCGTTCGTAGGCCACAGTATTATGAGATCGAGGGGTGCGGCTCTTTGTCCGCCGAATATTGCTTCGGCGGGTTTTTTTTTCGTGTAACATGAGACCGTCGCGTGCTGCCAGAACAAGAACCTGGCAATTCTTCAGTGAACTGCT